GTATTCATAAATGTCAAACACTGGAAAGAACAGAAATATCCATAAATTAGAGAATGAATAAATAATGGCACATATTCACACAACAGAATACTAGTCAGCAATAAATAAACTCCTAATAGAAGCAACAACATGAATGAAAGCAAAAAAAAGTCAGATATACTATCTAAGACACATCTACTGGACTCTACTCATGTGCAGTAAGAGAAAAAGAAGGAAATCAAAGACTCAGAGAAGAAACCAGTCTACAGGACCAGATGCCTACACAACCCATGGCCTCACCTATCCAAAGACCAGAAGAATTTAAATGGTGCCTGGTTATCACTTCTGACTGTTCTGACCAGAGCCACAGTAGATGGTCCCAGACATAATGGGAGAAAATCATAGAATTCAGAATCTTTTTTAAAAAAGACTTCCTGGGCCAGCAGAGATTAGAGGAAGCCCTGAGACTACTGCACTGAGATACCCTTTAAACTCTGAACTGAAACTACTCCCAGAGGTCGCCTTTCAACTAAATAACAGATTGGCTCATAAAATAAACACTATCACCTGTGAGTACTGTGCTCCTTTTATATAAAATTAATTTTAAAAAAATTTATTCTAAAACAAAGGTAAGAAAGCGGGGGGTGGGGACAGGAAAGTAAGAATAAAGGAAACAGAACAACCAGAATGGAAGTGAGAATGTTGATGCAATGTGACAAGTGTGACCAACGTCAGTGAACAATATATGCAGAAACTGTTAAATGGGAACCTAATTTGCTATGTAAACTTTCACCAAAAACTCATTATTTTTTTTTTTAAAAAAAAAAGGCAGACACAAAAGAGTACATATTAATCCACTTACATGGAGTGCAAAAACTGGCAAAATTACTCTATACAGACAGACATTGGGGGGAAGGGAGGGGATGCCTGTAAAGGGACATAACAGCACCTTTCTAGAGAATGTTCTATATAAGACATAAAGGGCTTGCCTTTTTTTTTTAGTTAGCTAATAAGTGTCTGAAATATGAATACTGCTCATGGGGTCACCATGAGTTGGGGGCAGAGTAAAGGGCAGCTTGCAACAACTATGTGGACTCAATGCTTATTTCTTTACAGAACACTACCTCCACAGCACTACATAGGGGAAGGAGCAGAAGACTAGGTATTCTAGTCTTTACCACTAAACTCACAAAAGCTGGGCATAGCATTAGGTCTACGTGTCTCTTGGAGCCCTGGTTGCACAGTGGTTAAGCGCACAGCTACTAACCAAAAGGCTGACAGTTCGAATCGACCAACCACTCCTTGGAAACCCTACAGAGCAGTTCTTCTCTGTCCTATAGGGTCGCTATGAGTTGAAATTAACTCGACAGCAGTGGGGTTTTTATCTCTCAATTTTATTCTGAAAAATTAAGGAGTTGGATTAGATCATGAGGTTTCCATTCTTCAGCTAAAAAAGTCCATGACTTTATTAAACTACCATATTTAATAATGTTTAAACCCATTTTTAAAAAAAAGTTTTAAAATCCAGCAAAACATCGTTTTTGCCTTTAAAAAACCAAAAACGCTAAACAACAAAAAAAGAGATTAAATCACTTCCAGGACTGCACTTTATCTAAAAAAAAAACAAGAAAAACCAACATCTAGTTTTATTTTATTAGTAAGTCTAATTAAGCAAATGTTTGAGAGAACAAAATATCAATCTTCAATTTCAAAACAATGTTTTCAACATCTACATTTTCAACAATTTATGAAAAAGAAAACTCAGAACCCTGATAAACCTACAGAAGCTCTAATCAAATATATATATATACACATACACACACATGCACACACAGACAGACTTTTATTTCATGCTGAAACTACAGGGTTTTTTTTTTTTTTTTTGGAATGTCAATCTGAAAATTCTACTGCCCTAAAGCCCTTCCGTGGCTTCACACTATCTTTCAATAACATCCAAAACCCTTAGCATGACTCAATAAAGCCCTGCATGATCTGATTTCTGTCTTTGGAGTTATCCACCCCCATGCTCTCTTTCAATTTCTCAAAAAACCTCCCCCCGCAACCCTGCATTTTAGAGTCTTCATACTATCTGTACTCCAAAACCTAGAATGCTCTTACAGATCCCCATCCCAGTGGTTCTGCCCCAGCAAACTGCTCTTCATCCTTCAGGCTGAGATGTCATGTTACCATACCAGGGAAACTTTTCCTGACCTCCCCAGACATGTATTTTGACAGCATTCCGGAGTTCTCCACAACATTCCGTATACTTGTAATTACTTGTTCAACATCTATCTTCCCTACTAAATGGGAAACAACATGAAGATAGTAATTTCATGTCTTGTTTCCTACTAATTCCCCCAATATCTAGCACACTGCTTAGCAGAGGTTAAGTTAGACACTCAATAAAAGTTTGCTGAGTAAATATATTCAAAATATGGGACAAGTCCAAAACCACGAGCTACTTTTCAGTTACACCTTAACTTTGATCTTCCGAATGTTCTTCCCTCAAGCAGGTGCTATTTGACAATTATAGTTTTAAAGCAAAGCAAAAAAAAAACCCAAAAAAGGTCCCTTTAAATAATGAACACATATTAAAGTTTCACAAAACCAAGACTAGAAACCACTGGTCTTAAATGATTGGAATCTACTTTTATAAGTTATGGTCTAAAAGAATCCACCTGAGATGCAATTAAAGGAACAGGAACTTGGATAAGGGCTCAATTTTACCACAGCAATGTATACTATCAAATGACGGATCCCACATTCTACCACCACTCTACTAGCACTGCCTTATTTATACCAACAGTAACAAACTCCAGTACTATAGCCACCTGAATAAGCTATATAATACCTGCAATATGCTTTACTAAAAATAAAGAAAAATTACAACCATACACACCAAGTGGTTATAAATAACCTCTTTTAGGCTAGCAGAGGGAAAAAATGGCAGTAAAATTGATAATCTAAAAACTGAAGGCTTAAAAAAGAATGGCAACTCAAAACATTTTTAAAAGTTATCTATTACTGAATACTTACGAAATGCTTATAATACACCAGGCAGTATTCTAAAATTTTCTTTATACATGTTCATTCTTTTCCCCATTTTACAAATGAGGAAACAGAAGCACTGAGTAGAGAAACTTACTCGATATTACACAGCAAAGCCAGAGTTCAAACCTAGCCATTCTGGCTCCAGTTATCCCTCTTAACAACTACACTAGACTGCCCACACCCTCTCCAATCCATTGAAATACACTTTTATCTGCACTACTCCACTCCAGAGAAACTAATTTTGCCAATTTCACCAATAATTCCCTTGCCAAATCTAAGAGCCACTTACCTAAACTCCACATCAACATCTCACTTGGATGTGTAACGAACACCTCATATGTAATGACAAAAATCAACCACGCGCCACTCCTCTCCCTTACCCTGTACTCTCCTACCACCTGCCCAGTTACTTAGGCTAAATTCTTAAGCATCACCCCGATTTCGTTTTCCCTCATCTCCCACATGCAATCCATCAGCAAATTCTATCAGCTACTTATGAAGCATTTTGGGTTGTCTTCACTATCACTCTAATGCTAGTTACGGCTGCTATCAACTCTGCCTGCAATACCTTTCAGAATGGTCTCCTTACTTCCATTCTTGACCCCTTAATTCTCTACAGAACAGGCAGAGTTAAAATCAGATCAGTCCTTGCCTGTTTAAAATCGTCTAATGTCCTTCCACTATAAATAAAATCCAAACTCTTGACCATGGCCTAGAAGATCCTACATGATCTGGCCCCTGCCTACTTCTCTGACTTCATGTTCTTCCATTCTTTCCTCCAGCAGGAGGCTTCTTGTAACCACAACCACCTCCTTTCTCTTCCTAGAACATACCGCATTCATCTCTAATGCAGGGCCTTCGCACTTGCTGTTCCTTCTGCAAGGGACATTCTTTTACCAGACTTAGGCATGGATGGCTCCTTCTCTTCCTTAGGTGTTGCTCAAATTTCACCTCCTCAAAGAGGCTTTCCTTGACCATCCCACATGAAGCAGGCCCTACTCTAATTAATCTTTTACATGACCCTCTATAATTACAATCTTCACAGCTCTTATTATCTGAAATTATATTATTCACTTGTTTTCTATGTCTTGCCTCCCTTGGAATAGAAAGCCTATCCCCAAAGCCTCCCACGATACATCATAAGTACTCAATAAATGTATTAAACGAAGGCACTTCCCCCATTACATTCTAAGCTGTTTATCGTATGCCAACTAATTCTGACAAAGCACCTGGTCCACGATACATTTTGTATGTACTAATAGATAACTCCTTCAAACACTCCTTTAATTTTCCAATCTAGAACATTTCAGCACTCTGAAGCCTCCCCACCGTCCATCTATGGTATCCCACTGGAAACTGCTAAATACTCCATATGGGTGGAGAATGAATTTTCTCCCTTCTCTCTAAGCGGCGAACGTGTAGGCGGGAAAAGGGAGTTTTACTGGGCACCTTAGCACCTGTTACATCTTCAATCAGTTAAGCGAGGTGCCAATGAGGCAGAAAGCACATGGAAGACGTGGCCTTTCTTTCAGGGATCATTTAGGCGACACTTGAGGGATTTGGAATAGAATTATCCAAATCTCTAATAAGGGCGGTTCATTTCATTTAAAGAAAAAAGGTAAAATCGCCCGTGAGCACGAGGTTATGCTCGGATTATCTAAAAGAAAAACAGACTTTAGGGTCCTTGGCAAATGCAAGTGTTTGGAAATTGGGTCGGTCTACATAAAACGGGAAAACATGAGCGAGAGACATCGTTTCAAGTACCTGCTCAAAGATAAAAGGTCAGTTCAGGCTCTAGGAGGTATCCTAAACCTGAAAGCGAGGTAGAAAAGAAAGGAGAAAACACAAAACCCTGGGATCTCCGTTTACCGCTTCGGCCTCCACCGCAGGCGCTTGGGGAAACAGCACAGATCTGTGTCCGCCGATCTCCCACGGCCATCCCTACAAGAAGATACCCCTCAGGTACTCACATGGGCTCCAGAGTCTTGCTGAGCCAGGACTTGAGTGCCTCGAAGTTTTCAATGATCATTTTAGAAACCATCCACAGCGGCCCCCGAGGCCCGTCACACTCCTCCTCCGCCCGCCCAGGTCGCAGCCGCTACAGCCGCCGCTGCCCCCGCCCCCTCCTCCGCGCGCTGCCCGCGTGGGCCGCGGTGGGAGGCGCCGGTGGCAGGTTCCCGCGAGCCCCGCTGGGCTACCGGCTCCGCGGGGGTTGCCGCAGGCCGCGAGTCCACTGGGTGCCAGGAGCTCTCCCTCCCCGGACCTCAACCTGGGCTGAGGCAGCAACGGTTTGCCCGGGCCCTCCCCCTTCCCTGCACCCCAGCAAATCTCCCCGGACCGGGAGCGCGACACGCGCCTAGATCCGGGCTTTCTCTCAACCTCGAGACTAGGTGCTTGTTGACAACGCAGAAGAGGCAAAAGTGAAGAAAGCGAATACGAAAGGCAGCTCAACGGGAAGGATTCGGGGGGTCTTCCCGACTCCCAGCACCCCCAAGAAGATGGCTGCCGATAAATCTCGCGAGAATTTATGAAGTCTCGCGGTGTGTCCCGGCGCCTGCTGGGAAGAGACGTAAGATCGGCGGAGAGCGCACTGGGAAATTGGGTGGCTTGGTGTTCGTGTGTAGGCTGTGGCTTGCGACTTTTCTGCCTTTTTATCCTCTGGTTTTCTTAGTGAAGAAAGACTTTTTGTTTGTTTGTTTGTTTGTTTTTCCGTGAGTCTGCTGAGTTCAGAAACAGCGGAAGCCCCAGCTCGATCTTTCTAACAGACGGTCGTTGCGCGTCAGCTGGAACAAACTTACTGGACAGAGCGCTCATTGAGAGCGTCAACACCAGTGTACGGGTTCCAGGTGTGCTGCGTTGTGCTGCCTCCTCCGTTTACTCAGTGTCCTACCAATACCATATTCTTTGTGCTGCGATGTAGGAAAGATTGGGAAGCACAGGGTAGTCGAATAAAACCCACTAAGACTTCCAAAGGATTAGTGGCTTGTCCAAAATTACTCGACTTGGTGGGAGAACACCAATGACCTAGGGACGCCGCGATAGAAGGTGAGGTAGCCTGTGACAACTCACCTGAAACTTTGGGACTTTTACCCAGGAAATGATGAGAAGGGGAGTTTTCTTCTTATTCTTTTAATTCTCTTCATTTAAAGCAAATTTCCCCCAAGATGGGGAAATGACATAGTATCAAATGAGAGAGGAAACTTGCATATCAGCCTCATAAACAAATTAATTTTTCCCCTCCTGGCCTATGGAGTTTTCAATTGTGGTCAAGTAAGTTTGATTCTTGCCTGAATTGTTATACCTACTAATATTTATTACCATTAAGGTACTAGGTGTAATTTCGCTGAAGGTTAAGTTCCAACAGCTAGTATAGTGGACTTAAAATAATTCACTATCTAAAGACATTTGCAGTAAGTAGACCAATAAAAGCTCTTCATGGCAGATAGTTATGCACCAAATTGTCATTATGAGCTACAAGTTTATAATTTGCTAGGGTGAAGTGTCCTTAAGCAATAAATGGAGAAGATTATCAAGTAAGAAAAGCTGAACATTTGTTTTAAAACTTAGCATATTAAATAGGATGCAAATTACACTTCAGCTATTGAATAACCAAGCTGTTGATTAAAGTGATTTAAAATGTCATATTGCTGGGGAAAAGTGTAAAATTCTACTTGTTTAGCCTACTTGTTGGATAGCCTTGACACAAACTGACTCCACTAATATTTTCAATCTCATCAGCAACTGTTCCGTAACTGTGGCCCTGCACTTCGGCCTTTTAGTATAGTCATACTGTGCTTATATCAAGTACTATACGCTCCAATTAAACTGATTTGCTTACCCTCCCCTTCTCCCAACATTTGTTCACATAATTTCCCACAGGGAAAACTTCAGCTTCTTTCTCTACTCAGTTCCTTCCCATCATTCTCTCTGAAACCACTGCTACTGTCATGTTTGAAGTCTTATTTTTTCTGAACAATTGCAATAGCCGCTTAATCTCTGCCTCTTAGGCTGCCCCTACATAAGGTCATCTTCCACATTGCCTTCAATAGCAATTGTCTTAGTTATCTGGTGCTGCTATAACAGAAATACCACAAAGTGGATGGTTTTGGCAACGGAAGTATATTCTCTCACAATCTAAGACGCTAGACGTCCCAAATCAGGGTGCCAGCTCCAGGGGAAGCCTTTCTCTCTCTGTTGGCTCTGGGGGAAGGTCCTTGTCATCAATCCTCCCCTGGCCTAGGAGCTTCTCAGTGCAGAGACCTGGGGTCCAAAGGATGTGCTCTGCTCCTGGCTCCTCTTGATTGGTAGTAATGAAGTTGCTCTCCTCTCTGATCACTTCTCTCTTTTATATCTCAAAAGAAACTGACGCAAGATACAACCTAATCCTTAGATTGAGTCTGCCTCATTAACATAATTGCCTGTAAACCTGCCTCATTAACATCATAGAGGATTTACAACAGATAGGATAATCACATCAGATCACAAAATGCTGAACAATCACACTGGTAATCATGGTCTAGCCAAACTGACACACATTTTTAGGGGACACAGATCCATAACGGCAGTCATTCTAAAATTTGGATCTAATCATGTCACTTCCCTGCTTGAAATGTTCATCAGCTCCAATACTGTCTTCAGGATAAAAATCCAAAGTCTTTAGAATGTGTCATGGATTGAATTATGTCCTGCCAAAAATGTGAGTATCAATTTGGCTGGCCCATGATTCCCAGTATTGTATGGTTGTCCTCCATTTTGTGATTGTAATTTTATGTTAAAGAGGATTGGGGTGGGATTGTAACACCCTTACTAAGGTCACATCCCTGATCCAATGTAAAGGGAGTTTCCCTGGGGTGTGGCCTGCACCACTTTTTATCTTACATGCGATAAAAAGAAGGGGAAGCAAGCAGAATGGGAGACCTCATACCATCAAGAAAGCAGTGCTGGGAGCAGAGCATGTCCTTTGGACCCCGGGTGCCTGCGCAGAGAAGCTACTCCAGGGAGAGATTGATGAGGAGGCCAACAGAGAGAAAGCCTTCCCCTGGAGCTGACACCCTGAATTTGGACTTACAGCTTACTTTCTGTGAAAAAATAAATTTCTCTTGGTTAAAGCCATCCACTTGTGGTATTTCTGTTACAGCAGCACTAGTTGACTAAGACAGCATGCTATAAAATGCCTTTCATAATCATAACCCTTGGTATTTGCCTAGAAACTCGCTGATGCCTTTCAGTCTTTGCTTCAGCCATCCTCAACTATTTGGAATTCTTTTTAAAAAGTGTATTCTGTCACTAAACAACCATTACAAAATGTTTTTCTCTTTGTTTTATTTTATGTACTCCTACTCATCCATCAAAATTCAGTGCATACAGTATCACCTTTGGAAATCCAATCCTGACCTCCCTACTCTAGAGCAAGTGTCCTTCTGAAGTTTTCTCGCATCAGCCTGTGCTTACTCCTTGCTTCATTTTGCAATTATCTGACTAATTATTTGTTCCTCAGTAGACTATAGTTTTGAATCCCCTGCTCCAAGCACATATGCGCACACACACACACACACACACATTTTTAAATATATTTTTGAATGAGTGAATGAAGTCCTACCACTTCCATGAAGTCTTCCCTGACCACTGTAGCTGACATGATCTCTTCCTCCTCTAAATCCATGGTACAGTAGTTAAATCACGGTTAGTCATCATCGCTTCCTAGCATACTTCTGTCTTCCTTAAGCATTAACATCTATCCCTCATCACTTCAGGTCTTCTTCTTCTTTGGCCCTGCCTTCAAAGGTGATAATTAGCTAAGGTAATAATGCTACTAAGCGAAGGCTAAAATAACCCTCCATACACCACTTTCTCTCTTCAGTAAAATGAACACTTTGAAATGCCCAGCATTAGACTACCTACTTTTCATTGCCAACACATTATGCACTTTCAATGCCTTGTGACTTTGTTAGTGCTGTTCTTTTTGCCAGGAATGACTTTCCCCCTGGCTCAAATGCCCGTTCCTCACCCTAGGCAAAGATAATTGCCTCTTGGTTCCTACCTATGGAATAGTTGTTAAAAATTTTTATATTATTTTCTCATCTGTTTCACTCACTAGATTATGAGCTCTTAAAGGATGGGGACTCGAGCTTATTCCTTTGTACTTCCTGCACTTAGCAGTGTCTGGAAACTCACAAATGTTTAAAGAATGTTGTATGCTTCATTTTCAATAGGAAGGAAGCAGAGGTGGGGGAAAATATTCTGGATAGGCAAGTAATAATGATATATCTCCTAACAGACTTATATCCCCTTATGGTTTATTACCATGAGTTGCCTTCGCATTTTAGCTGCTATGATCCAAGACTATTCTCTGTAGTGTGCTTAAATCCTTAGGTCCTTCCAGTTCTCTCTCCAAGCTAATGAATACAGACTTACTCTCAATGGTGTGTCTAGCCTGTACCTACATCACTACTCAAGAGAGAAACCGCACAAAGTCAATTTTAATCTGCCCCACAAAGGGAATAACAAACTCCAAGGCCTGTGGATTCTCTCTTTGCTCTTATTCGTATCTTTTGATTTCAAAAAGTATCAGCATTGTTACTCTCATCTGAATGCCTCTTAATAATAGCTGCCATTTACTGAGTGCCTGCTCTGTCAGAAACAGAAATGGTGCTAAGCACTTTATGCACGTTATCTCAAATGTTTAAAACAATCTCAAAAGGTTGATATTATTTTCATTTTGCCAATGAGATATCTGACCTTGAGTTCAGAGAGATTAATTCAAATACTCAAGGTCAGTTGGAGCCAGGTCTTTCTGATGTACTAGTCCGTACTCTACCCACTGCATCTTGCTGCCTATTCTCTTTCTTACTCTGTCTAACCTGTGAAGCACTCTTAGATTTATCTTTGTAAAACGATCTTCACAAATTTTAACAACCTACAACAGCAACTCAAAAAGTTAGATGAGAAGCTTAGGGGGCACTGAGTTGAAGTTAATGGTAGTGAAATAATTTGGAAAAGGATAGCAAGAATGATAGCACAACTTGAAGAATGTAACCAATGTCACTGACTGTACACGTATAGATTGTTGAATTGGTGTGTATTTTGCTGTGTATATTTTCACCAAAAGACAAAAAAATTAACAAGCTTCCTTTTTCCAAATAATAAATTCTAAAGTCTTTAATTCAGCATTCAAAAACATGTAAAATCTGTCAACATAATAAAGGGCATCTATGCAAAACCAATGGCCAACATCATTCTTAATGGAGAGAAGCTGAAAACATTCCCCTTGAAAATAGGAACAAGACAAGGATGCCCTTTATCACCACTCCTGTTTAACATTGTGCTGGAAGTTCTAGCTAGAGCAATAAGGCAAGAAAAAGAAACAAAGGGCATCCAAATTGGTAATGAAGAAGTTTCACTGTCCCTGTTTGCAGATGATATGATACTATACATAGAAAACCCTAAAGACTCCACGAGAAATCTACTGGAAC